CGGTCTGAATTGAACACGTGGTTAAATGTCTTCAGTAGAAGGAGCACACGGTGAGAAACCCTTGAGTGTCATTTCGACTGACAGACAGCACGTTTCTCACAGCAGGCCAACAACTTTCCAAGTAAACAATAAAAAGGGGGCTCTATTTTTAATAACTTCCATAGTTTATGGACAGGAAAAACTCAGTCCCCTTGTTTTGGGAATGAAGATAAAATGATTGTAATTTGATCAAAGAAGCTCTGTGGACTGCTAACACACAAAGGACTGTTCTTTCTCTTGTACTGAATCTTGTTCAGTTTTATTTACCACACATTTCTTATATCATTATTGTTAGTTATATCTTAGATCATTATACACTGTTTATTTTTATTTATACTTCATACACACTGTTTTGTGGGTATAACTGGGACCGTGAGTTCACTGTTTCGTTCCACCTCATGTCCAACACGTGGTGAGAATGACAATAAAGAGCCTTGAATCATTGAATAAGATGTTTGCTGCTTGTTTTCTGTAACACAGAGCTCAGTGTGAAGTTCATCTTTGGCTCTGAGACCAGACAAACCAGAGAAAAACCAAAAGCGCAGTCTCTGGCTGCTACCTGCTACCGTTTGATGACAAGGTGCTTGTATAATAATTCTACTGAAACTTGTGCAGAAACTCCAACATTTGTCCTTCTGTCTTTGAAAGAGGATAGAAATGGTGAAGCTTCAGGCGGCGAGACATGAACTACAGGTTCCTGAGCGCTGAGCTGTTTGTCTTCAGTACGGTCCCTTTGGCATGAACTTAATGGACGTGTGACTGAAAGCAACAACTTGGCAATAATACGCTTGATAATTGCTTTGGAGTGGATTATTTCAGGCGTGCACTGGTTTCACATCAAGCACATTTTTGGCCTGGTCTCCAGTTACATTTATTTTTTCTGAAGGCAACTTTGCTCAGCATTTAAGGTTTTTATTTTGTAGAGATGTGAACAGAAAGGAAGTAACTGAAGTCAATTTTTAGCAGGGGAACAAAATAAAAACAAGATCAAATTTCCACACAGAGCATGTTCAAAAAGTTAACACTAAAGACTTTTACACCAAATCTATGTTTACATAGAAATTTATCACTATATAAATCACTATATATGCTGACGACACATTGTCCTTTGGACATGACATGTAAAACAAGCGCTAAAACTGTTAAACATGCCCAAATATTCATTCATATGGGTAAAATCCATGATGTCTTTTTCTTGTACTGGTCTAAAAAATGCTGACATTGTTTCCAAAGGCTGAAGGAAAAAGCTCCAGTGTAAACACATGTCAACTCCAAGAAAATGTCTCCCTCATGTTCCAAACGGTAATCGTTCAGAGAATTACTTCCTGCAGGTAAGAGACTGACTACTGAAATCATTCCACATAACCTCACTTCTAAAAGTCCAAGCTCTGTTTTTGTATCTGTGTTTTTTTATAAAAACCCCGTGTGTCCCCGAACCAGCAGTCTTAAACAAAAATGATTGTGGACGTGGAAATGTTATAAGAATGTGATAAAAATGAAAATAGTGTTGTTCTATTTAAAACCTCACCTCTTGGTAATTGGATCTATAGAAATGTGTGAAAATGTATTAAATTTTTTAAAGCATTTAAATGTACACATCATTGCAAATGTCCTTATGAAAGAACGATGAGCACTTTGTGTGTTAAAATAAATCCACGTGAAACAAGAATGTGAAGAAAAGAAAAATCTGTTTTAACCATTTAGTCAGACTCAGTGATACAAATACATCTTCATTTATTTCACGTACATTTTTTTAAACTTTTACTTTTGTAGGTTCCACAATCTAAATGATTCAACAACAAAATGAAGAACTACCACAACAAAGTCCAGAGTTCCTACAGGAAAAATGTTGCAAATGTTACTTTGTAAACTTGACATGTAGTTTGCCAACCTGCAAAGCTACAGTTAAAGTAATAAAAAGACAAAAATTGGACAAAAAGGTGGTTTGTGTGGAAACTTCAACCAATAATGGGCCGTTGTCGTGATGATTCAAGTGCAATGTTAAATCCTGAACAGTGTTGAAGGATTGATGTTTGAAAAATCAATAGCATTTTTATACATATTTTCCTATATCTGTATTAGTAAACAATATATGATTGATAATATCAGTCGACAATTAGGAACAGGGACAGAAAATCAACTATAAAAGCCCTTCCTAATCAATGGAAACTTCAAGTCTGAAAAATGTTCTTGCAGAACATGTGGGGTTACAATTTTGGCTAATGCATCCCATGAATATTGCTATGAATAGTTGTCTACAATGAATATGCACGTACATGTACATAATGGAGCATTAGGTAAACAGAGTTCAGAAATAAAGAAACCACAGTCTGTCCCATTGAATTGTTCAGTGAATGGCGCAGAACTAAACAAAGTAGGTTAATAGTTTAGATACAAATCTGTAATGTACATTGTTTATCAGAGTCTGTAGTCAGCCCCAAACCAAGGGCTTCATCTGGGCATACAAATTTCAGAGAGATATACACGACTGTTTTTTCTTCAGGTCTCCATGATGACAAATATTTCCATTCCTTGTCCAAGCAGTTGTGCACATTTATCTAACTGCTGTACTCTGTCGTGTTTAAAATACTTTATCCAACAATTATGTCAAAACCCAGTAACAGGATACTTCCCATTTAGTTAGGATACCTGAAAGATGTTCAGAACCAATCCTTTCATCTTCTTTTTAAAAAATACTTTTACTTTGTGCATTTTCATGAACCCCGTCTTGTTCACGTTCTCTTTGCATGTGTCTCTTTTTCACTCTGTGCATATATTCATATAAACTCACATCATCTTCATGTTAAAACGACGAGGACCGACTTGTCCCTCTGCTGAATCAACATTGGTGCCATTGGACTTTGACCGAGGTACATACTCCACGTCAATGTTGTTTTTATGTTTTCCTTTCCCTCTGCTCCAAACAAAAAGGAGCAAGAAGCAAAACAAGACCACTCCCAAGAATGTGAAACAACCCATAGCTGTTGACACCAAAATAGTCTTAAGATCCAAACCTAGGCTCACGCCGGCTGTTCCATTGACAGTGGTATTGCTGGGATCTGTGTATTGCTGGGTCCTGTTAGCATACAGCGATCCAAGACTTTTCACTGCCAATGAAGCCATCTGGGTGTCATTTCCAGCTGTGTTAGAAGCAAGGCAAAGGTACACTCCACTGTCTTGCATCTCCGCTGACTTAATCTCTAGTGTGCCATTGTTGTGCACCATCAGTCTTCCATGGCTCCTACTTGTCAGAACTCGTCGGCGGGGAGACAGCCATGACACACTTGGCCTTGGAGTCCCTTCAGCACTGCAGCGTAACATTGCCGGCTGGCCTTCATCCACAGTGTAGGTGTGTGTCTTATTCTCACGAATTTTTGGCTTGGTGCAAGTCACATAATAAGACAGTAGAGTTTCCTTAAATTCCTTAAATGGTTGTCCACGTATTCCATCAGGTGTGCTGCATTCTGGTTGGGAGTCTCCGAAAAAGATGGAATGCTTTTTCTGTAGAATCCACATGAGGCGGCAGTCACATACTAAAGGGTTGTTGTCAATCAGAAGGACCTCCAGCGCTTCAGTAGATTGGAACACACCCTTTTCCAACGTATCCAGTCGATTGTAAGAGACGTTGAGGACTTTGAGACCCCGCAGGCCTTGAAATGCAAATGGTTCTATAGACGTTAGTTGAGCTCCAACTAGATGCAACTCTCTCAGCCGAACAAGCTCAGTGAGCATGCCCCCTTCAATGTGCCTGATGCGGTTGTAGGACAGGTTGAGACGAGTCAGGTAGGGCAGATGTTTAAGGGCTTGGTAGGGGAAAGTGGACAGGTTGGTGTTGGTTATAAACAGTGTTGTAAGGTTTAGTCCATGAAGGGTATTAGCTGGCACATGGTCCAGTGAAGGCCAGTAATCAATTTCTAAATGCCGCAGACGGAAAAGCTTTTTGAACGAGTATGGATGCAAAGTGCTAATGCTGAGGTAACGCAGATGGAGGCTGGCCAGGTTGTGCAAGTGGGATAAAGCCTCGGTGGGTACAACTGTAAGGTTGCATCTTTCCAAAGTTAGTGTCTCCAAGCTTAAAAGTCCACTAAATGCACGGTGAGAAATATAAACCAGATCATTGTCACCGACTTCCAAAGACCTCAGATTATGCAAGTCTTGGAACATATAATCCAGAAGGATGACAATCTTATTGTCACTTATATCTAGTTGGGTAAGATTTGTTAGGGCTGTGAAGACCCCCAGAGGAATGAGCTTTATACGATTACTCTTAAGACTGAGTGAGTGCATGCTAAACAAGGCATGAAACGCTCCAGGCTCAACGTAGCTGATAAGATTTCCACTCAGATCAAGTTCTTCAAGCCCAGGAAAGGCAATAAAGTCATCAGGGTTGATCATGGTCATCTTGTTTTTACTCAAGTCCAGAATTCTGGTCTCTGTTGGAATGCCATCTGGGATGGAGAGCATGCGCTTCCGGTGACAGACAACTGCCTTGGTCTGCGCTGAACACTCACAGCGGGAAGGACATCCGAAGCTCGAACCCACAAAGACAGCCACAAGAGCCAGTCCCAGGAACGGCTGCCAGCAGGAGACGACTGTGTGCGGCATGACTTTGCTCATACAGTCCACCATTCTGTCACGGTTCTGCAGAGACAGACAGAAGACAAACAGAGCTTAGTGACCGTGTGAATCACTGCAAACATGTTCTTACATCTGGGGTCACCACCTGTTACCGCTCATTGTTAGTTCAGATAACGATAAATTATAGCAAACATGAAATACTTGTCCCAGCTGTTTTTAATTAATTGGGGCAGTTGCTACACATAATTTCTAACAGAACAGGTTACTCTTCATTTGAAATTATTGGTGTCCATCTCTTACAATAAGAACACATGGCTTATGTACAGTGCCCCCGAGGGCATCCTTGGACATCCTCACCACCCTTGTCCCCCCCGCAGAATGTCTACGTCACCATGTGCGAGGTGTTTTTTCAATATCTAGGTTGTTCTTCTCAGCCAAGAAGAAAGAGTTTGATATGAATACATTTTTGCCTCCAATTCCCACATGTCCAGTTTCACTACGTTTTGTCCGTCTAAACAGATCTCACTTGTAAACGAGTCTCACTGTGATTTATCTGTCTAAATACAGGTTGAATTGAATATATATAAGTATTTATAAAACTACTTTGACATGTATCTTGATAACATTTAAGGCGATAAACACCAGCTTTACAAACACACAGAAAACTATAATTAATTCATTTTAAAATGCAAGTGTTCATTATTTCAATTACTGTCGGCTCGATGCTGTTTCAAACTGAGGCCTGACATTTAAATTTACTCAATCGTTGATTTTTATTTATGTATTTATGTATTTGTTTTTTGATGAGGGAAGTAAAACCTGCAGGTTCAGTCGTTAAATGTGTCACGCCTTTTGTATCCATTACAACAAATAATGGAACAGCAACAAAACAATACTGAACCCAGCGTGAATGGACTGTCGGTCCAGCTCTGCCCAGAACCTTCTGGGTCCAGCAGACAAAAGCCCATCAGAAATACTGCAGCTGATTTAGTTTTAATTGGAGCCGACCGAGTCAATCAGTGACGGGCCGGACTCTTCATCAGCGTCTCTGCCTGTCATGCCAAGCGGCACCCACTGCTCCTGTTTGATTTCAAATCATTTACCGACTAATTATCTCCACCACTCCAAATGTGGCGTAAACACACATGAAAATCATCATTTGAATGAACCTGCCTCCGGTCGCTACGCTGCTTTAAAGTCCTGAGATGAGTGTGCTTGTACGTATTAGGGGGCACAACAGTTACTACCTTTTCATTCATCAAACATGTATAAAACATTGGCCTCACATGTTTTTTCATCATGTGTTCATGTATGACGGTGGAAAATGCATTCTGTTCGTCCTCGATGTCTTCACTGATAATCCTAACAAAATGTTGGCTGTAAATATTTTGTGATGACATTTGTCTGGGTTTGCACACCCTGAAAGCTTACAAGACACTGATTTCAGCCAAGTAGTTGGCAGATATAGATAAAAGCCCGGTCTTAGTGCAATCAACCAATAAAAAAACACTTGTGAAGCTGGCCCGACTCGATCTCCTCTGGAAAGGTTTTCTTTCTGTTTGATGTGGCCCCCAGGCTCTGATCATCCACATAATGGGATTCCTTCACTGAGAAGAGCTTCTGCTGTTGGTGGGAAGAGAGAGGCCGTCTCTACCCAGCAACAACACAAACATCTTCAAAACTGAAGCTTCACATGTCCATCAGTTCACTTTGACCGCACAGCGAGACGCAGTGAACCTGAGGGAAAGGAGAAAAATAATTCTGAGAAATGATGCAAAATCTGCAGAAGAATGGAATGAGTGAGAATTAATGATTAAATTATCATTTGGTGTCCTCATGCAGTGAATATTCTACATGTTGAACACGGAGGGTGCGTTTTAACTAATAAAGCATCAAACATGGCTGTCCTCAGCGCAGCAGCGTCTGATTTAAAATAATATAATTAGTTATGATCAGGAAACTATGAGACAAAACAAAAATATAAAATAAAGGGAAAAATATCTAGACTGATCATTTTCCTCTAATCAAATAAGAGAAGAGAAAAATATGCATTTACTTTGACACAGACAACATCCATCCATCCATTATCTTTACCCGCTTATTCCATTTTGGGTCACGGGGGTCGCCGGTGCCCATGTCCATCAATCACTGTGCGAGGGGCGGGGTACACCCTGGACGGGTCTCCAGTGCATCACAGGGACACAAAGAGACAAACGAGACAAACAACCATTCTCTCTCTCACTCACACCTAGGGACAATTTAGAGTTACCAATCAGCCTAACATGCATGTTTTT